CCCAGTGTCCTAACACAGACTTTAAGCAACAAAGTCTTCATAGCTTGCAAGTGAGCATAATTCCATCATAAATGACAATGTATTATATAATTGTATTTACAATATATGTACATTTTTAGTATGTTTTAATAAATCCATCTGTGTACAATACCAGTTTTGTGGGGTTAGCCAACTGAGCAAGTCCGAGGCTTGATGAGCAGAACAGCAAAACTAAGCTTTTTAAAAATGTTTTATGAAGTTTTGGAGTTTACTATCACTCTATCTCATTCCTACTACCTGAGGGTACGAATCTCTGACAGACTGAATTATCTTGGGGTATCTTTAAGTCTACTGGGCCCTTTTCAGCTATGGCCAAATAGCCTGCCAGGGTGGGATATACAGACGATTTTCCACTCTTGTAAAGCCTTGTACTGACTGAAGCCCTGGCCCCTTCCCCCTTTGGGATGGTGGAGGTTATCCCAGTTCCTCCTGGAGACAAGCTTGTTCACCAAGAAGAAGCAGAGACAGGCAGTGCCTTTCTTTTTAAGAAGCCAAACATCTCTTCACAGCAGACCATGTAGATATAGGATTTCAATCAGACTTTTGGTGATGTCTGCACCTGAGAAAAAATCGGAAACCAGCCTACAGACCTGACCTCTTTCTTGAAATGAGTCCCAGATAATAACACTATCCAGCTGCTGCTTACCTAGGCTGCAAGCCTTGGATAGACAATCTCTCTGAAGCTGCTCATATCTGTCAGGAATACAAGTGATCCAACACGCAGTATTAGCATCACACTTAGGAATAAGGATAACGTCTAACCGGACCTTAGAATGGCCGGACTTAACGTACCAGAGAATAATCAAAATACTAGCCAAGGTCAGGAACACAGAATGAAACACAGTTGCAAGGAATAGCCAATAGTCAGGTAAACCAGAATTCAGGGAAGTCAGAACAAAGCCAAAGAAAATAACCAAAGAAACAGGATCAGGAACACACTCTCGGATAACCAGCAAAGGGAAACCACAACAGGGCAATGAGTAGAAGAAATTAGTGAGTTAAAATGTCCCTCTTGTGAATCCGATTGGCCGTATATGGCCTTTGACCCCAAAATGTGTGCGCACGTCCTCCACGTGACGTCACCCGCACGTCGATGTCGTTACCACTGTGGACAGACATGGGGTTACATAACGGCGTCCACCGGCATGTCGCAAAAGCCCAGTCTTATAGCATAGGACTGCTGAGCAGAACTTCTCCTACTTCTGGAAAGGTGATTTATGTTGTGCATAGTATATGGAGAGGATGTATACATGACAATATCCTAGGTGGGTTGGCCCTGGGTCTTCAGAGACCTAGATTTGCGCACAAAAGTGGACAGATCAGAGCATGCTGTCATCATCCAGAGCATTTCATGAAATTATTTTTGTGGGACCTTGACCATTGCAGATGAGCAGATTTCCACCATTGGGGATTGGGCAATTTGGGGTCTGCATCTACTTACGAGTTTGCCCCATGTCTTTTTTCTTTAGTTCTGTCCTTATCGTACAATCAGTGTTATATACTAATGTATCTTTGCCAATGTATAGGTGGCTATCTACTTGTTCATTTAAGCTGTTGAGTCATGCACATTATTTAATCAATTGTTTTTTGGTTTTTTTAAATGTGTTTATTTTTTAGAAGTATAGTCCACTCTAACAGCACAGTTACATGTCTTGTAATACACATGTTAAAGTTACCCAAAGAATAGTTACCAACTATAATCCTACTTTGGCGATTAGCAATGGTTGTATACGTGTTGCTGTTGCCTTTCTCATAATTTTATTTTATTCTCTTATTTAAAAGCATAGCCTATTCTAACAGCACATTTATATGCCTTGTAATTTACGAGCTGTACCGTTTCTTTTTAAAATTGTGTTTTTTAAATTGAAGATTGAGATAAAATTCAAATTGAAGATTGAGCCCTTGGGGGTATTCGTTAACCAAGGTTTGTGGTGACAGTGATCTGTATCTATAAAACTATTTACATAAACTTGTTTAAAATATGTCAGAGTCATAACAGATTTATTAAAAACATAAGTATATAGATCTAAAAAAATTAGTTTCTACTCATATTTTGGGTTAGTTTAATTTCCCAATATAAAAATGTATGAAACACAAAATGGAGAAATAAAGTAAACAGAGTGCAGGTCAGGAGTCCGGATACAAGTCAAGGGCTCGTGAGCTGCACCACTGTAACTACCTAATAGGGAGCTCTAATGAGGGGGTAACCCTCCAAAATAGGAGTAGGTGATGTGTAGAGTCCCACAAGGGGAAACCAACATCAGGAGAGCTCCACTGTATAAGAAATGAGTAAGGGAGGCCCTACCTTAAATTAATCTAAGGATAAAAAGGGATATGCAAACAAAAAGTATAACTTGAAAAAAGGGAGATCTACTAAACGGTGCCTAGGGGATCAATTGTCTGGAGTACTAGCTGTGACTGTCCAATCACAGACTTCTCAATGCAGCTTTGGGTTGTCTACTGTTGCAAATGGTATGCCATCATAGGGGTAATTTTCATTCTTGGGCTACCATAGGGTCTCAAAGGCAACATACCCAATCTGGCAAATTTTAATGTGAAAAAAATGAAACACAAGCCTTATATTTGACGCTGTAACTTTTGAAAACACCATAACACCTGTACATGAGGGGTACTGTTGTACTCGGGAGACTTGGCTGAACACAAATATTTGTGTTTCAAACCAGTAAAAAGTATCGCAGCAATAATATCGTCCGTGTAAGTGCTGTTTGTGTGTGAAAAATGCAAAAAACGTCACCTTTACTGGCGATTTCATCGTTGTAATACATTTTACTGTTTTGAAACACTAATATTTGTGTTCAGCGAAGTCCCCCGAGTGGAACAGTACCCCCCATGTACAGGTTTTATGGTGTCTTGGAAAGTTATAGGGTTAAATATAGTGCTAGCATATTAAATTCCCTTTACTTTCGGCATGGGTTGTCAGGCAGGTCCCGCTAATTGTAATTAATTAAGATACCCAATTATGTAAAAATATTGCATAAATATATGTGTAGAATTAATATATGTATATATATATATATATATATATATATATATATATATATATATACAAAATAAAGTACAACTAGGCAGAGTATACCAATGTAAAAACTCTGACTAGGAGTACCGAAGAAGGGCTAAGGGGGTAGCAAAACGGGCATAACCCTATATACAAAACAGCATAGAATAAACTATAGTAAGAGGAAAAATTCCCTAAAAGGAAAAATAAATCCTCCACTAGAAATACCCCCAATTGGCAATATATGTGTGATATAATCAGATAAAAATACATATGTAGAAAATAACAATAAACTTTATTAAATATCCAAATCAAAAGAAAAAATAATTATGAATAAAAAATGCAGACTAATCTCGGCTGAAAGAAAGCTGCTGAGCACATCAAGACCACATTAAGTATAGTAAGTACAAAATAGGGTTGTTACAAAACACAGTGAGTCTAAACAATGTAACAACCTCTAACAGAAAGACTCAAATGGCAACAGCAGCTTATAGAAAAAGCCGAAATAGTACTCAGCTGTAACCCTAGGTATATCTAAATAGGAGGCACTGTATAATATACTTTCTAAATAGTAATACTAGTAAATGAACCCTTACTTACTAAAACAAAACAAAAAAAAAAAAAATAGATGACAGATCTATTGGTGATATCCAGAAATCGAAAGGATAGTAAGATGGGTAGTAAAGAAAACTGATATAGAAAGTGAACAGCAAGCAGGAGGTAAATCCTCCACTGTAATTCTCTAAAGTAAGAGTATATATGCCCCAATAATGCCCGTTGACCGGCCGGTCATATGTAAATATGGGTACAGCTAACGTACGAAAGAGTGTGTGTAAAATAGTGTAACACACATGTCCGCATCAAATATTGCCCAACGCGCGTTTCGGCGGGTAAACCGCCTTTTTCAAGGGCATCCTGTACAAATCCCCCGCTCAAACGTACTCCTTAAAAGAGCGAGTGAACTCCTCCTCCTAAAGAATGAAGACCAATCCTCACCGTTCGTCCACAAAAAGGGGGCGTCTATTCATTCCTCCTCGCCAGGAGAAATCTACGGTGTCTCGAGAGGTCCATAATCCCCGCGCATGCGCGCGGACTTAGAAAAAGGAAACTAAAAAATCAACCGGCTCAGATTGCCTAAGGACGGCGATAGTCTTCCTTTTGAGTCTAGGATATACAAACAGACCGCCCTAGACACCAATAAAGTAATCCTCATGAGCCAAATAGCCAAAATAAAGAGTAAAAAGAGATTAATAAAACTCTTATCATTAGAACTGTCAAGATGGGGATATATTTATGTACAATTGTGTGTAAATCACTATTATTAAATCCCTATATGACAGTGAGTTCAAATATATATGGCCATGGCTAAAGGGAGAGGAGGGAGGAAAAATTTATATATGGAAAGGAGGGAGGGGGGAAGAGAAGAAAAAAGATAAATAAAAAGGAAATAACAAAGGGAAACATAAATCATAAATTATGTAGTCAAAAAGATAATAGTCAACCCACACAATATATATGTGGTCATTATATAGTAGTTCCCGTCGGCAGGCCAAAATAAATACCAAAATGAATACCAAAATGAATATCAGACTTAAATTAAGTAAGGTTCAGAAGAAATTAACTCTCAGAGATGACTAAATGAATGGGGCAAAAGAGAAGCCTTCATTCAGACCCAGAGGTTGGAGGGTCTTTAGTTCATAGATCCATCTAGACTCACGTTGTCTCAGGATCTTATCAAAGTCTCCACGTCTAGGATTCCTCTTCACTAATTCTAGCCCACAAAATCGGAGATTATTCGAACTGCCATGATGACATTCTTTTAAGTGTCTAGAAATAGGTGTCTCAAGACGATTCCTAGGGGATCTCACATGTTCTAATATTCTTTCCTTGAAGGCTCTAAATGTTTTTCCCACATATTTCTGTCCACAGGAGCACGTCAAAAGATATACGAGTCCCTTAGTGTTACAATTAAAAAAGCTTTTAACCTTAAAAGCCCCTTGGCCCAAACTGTCACTTATTGTTTTAGAGCCCTTAGATATGTACTTACAGGCTACACACCTGCCACAGCAGTAGGTACCACAGGGGGGAGTTCCCAGCCAGGAAGGTCGTATCGGTGTCTTAGTGGAAAAATGACTCGGTACCAACAAGTCACGGATATTACGTCCACGTCTAGCTGTAATATTTACTTGTGGGCCCAAAACATCCTTTAAGTGTACATCATTTAAAAGAATGGGCCAAAATCTATCTAGGGATTTACGTACCTCAGACCAGCCTGTATCATATGTCGCAATCATGCGAATAGTGCCTAATTCCCTGCCCTCAGACTTAACTGGATGATCAGATAGTAATTGATCCCTTTCAGTTAAAAGTGCTCTTTTATATGCCTTCTTTAAACAGCGATTCGGATAGCCTTTCTCTTTGAAGTGTATCCTAAGCTGTTTCGCTTTCATTTTGAAGTCCTCAATGTCGCTACAGTTTCTCCGGAGGCGAAGGTACTGGCCTACCGGAATGCCTTCCTTAAGGGGTCGTGGATGGTGACTCTCCCAATGTAAAAGGGAGTTAGAGGCCGTCTGTTTTCTAAACAGGGTAGATTGAAAAGTCCCATCTTCCTTGATGGTGATGGTCACATCTAAAAAATTAATAGAACGTCCTCCAAACTCAGATGTAAAATGGAGGTTCTCATCGTTCTGGTTAAGTAATCCAACTAACTCAGAAAATTGTTGGGAAGTACCCTGCCACACAATTAGGATATCATCAATATAACGACCCCACCATAAAATGAAGGGTAAGTATTCTGACAAGACATCAGAAGTATGGATCGAGTGTTCCCACCATCCCAGGTGGAGGTTTGCATATGAAGGGGCACAAGGTGTCCCCATAGCGGTACCTCTCACCTGGTGGTAGATTTTACCATTAAATAAAAAATAATTGTGTGACAAGATGAACCTCAGAAGGCGTAGGGAAAAAGCTGTATGTGAGTCATCCCTATTACCTCGTTTATCAAGAAAGAATTCCACATGGCTAAGCCCTTTTTCATGAGGGATAGAGGAATAGAGCGATTCTACGTCTAAGCTACAAAGCTGGACTGTAGGTGAAAATTTAAGATTTGAGAGCCGATTAAGAGCTTGCTTCGTATCCCGGATATATGAGGGTAAAGTTTCGACAAAAGGTCTCAAAATTTTGTCTATATATAAGCTCCGTTAGCTGTACCCATATTTACATATGAGCGGCCGGTCAACGGGCATTATTGGGGCATATATACTCTTACTTTAGAGAATTACAGTGGAGGATTTACCTCCTGCTTGCTGTTCACTTTCTATATCAGTTTTCTTTACTACCCATCTTACTATCCTTTCGATTTCTGGATATCACCAATAGATCTGTCATCTATTTTTTTTGTTTTTTTGTTTTAGTAAGTAAGGGTTCATTTACTAGTATTACTATTTAGAAAGTATATTATACAGTGCCTCCTATTTAGATATACCTAGGGTTACAGCTGAGTACTATTTCGGCTTTTTCTATAAGCTGCTGTTGCCATTTGAGTCTTTCTGTTAGAGGTTGTTACATTGTTTAGACTCACTGTGTTTTGTAACAACCCTATTTTGTACTTACTATACTTAATGTGGTCTTGATGTGCTCAGCAGCTTTCTTTCAGCCGAGATTAGTCTGCATTTTTTATTCATAATTATTTTTTCTTTTGATTTGGATATTTAATAAAGTTTATTGTTATTTTCTACATATGTATTTTTATCTGATTATATCACACATATATTGTCAATTGGGGGTAGTTCTAGTGGAGGATTTATTTTTCCTTTTAGGGAATTTTTCCTCTTACTATAGTTTATTCTATATATATATATATATACGTATGTGAATATATATGTATATATTTATATATATAATTTTTTAAAAATATTTTTATTTATATATAGGTATATATATTTATGTATATAGATATTATTTCGTTCTACGTGTATTTTGATATATATATTTTTTAAATTATTTTTTTATTTTATTTAATGTATTTACATATTTAATTTTTTTTATATTATATATATATATATATATATATATATATAACAATAATTATATATATATATTCAGTATCAGTCTACGTGTAATTTGATATTAATATATATATATATATAATTATATATATAAATAGTAAAATACACCTAGACAGTGTACGTGTGTGTATGTATATGTGTGTGTATATACGTATCTAAGTATATATTATTTTTTTTACACTATTTAATTTATTTTAATTTTATTTTTAGCCAGCAGGGGGACCACCTGTCATTACAGGCAGCCCCCCTGCTGGCAATGTTGCAGCCAGCTATCCCGGCCATGTGATTGTGAGATCCTCGCAAGGCCGGGGGGTGGGGGGCTGCAGGAGGAAGATCTGCTGCGGGGAGGCTCCTATAATAGGGCGTAATAGTACGCCCTCTGGTCTTAAGGGGTTAATCTGTCGCCGACTCTGATGGTCGGTCTAATCGCCTTGATACCTTTCACGATTAGACCTTTTGGGTTAGCCCCATGTTTTTCTGCAAAGTGGATAGGTACACCATGATTCATACATTTGTTCTTGATTCCACACAGATATTCCCCTATTCTTGTCTTAAGTTTCCTGCATGTGCGTCCCACATATTGTTTGCCGCATGGGCATTCAATGAGATATACCATATATGTGGTGTTGCAGTTAATAAATTGTTCGATCTCGTGTGTTTTCTCTCTATCTAGGTGGTTCGATGAGAAGTGTTTTTTTTTTTTTCAGGATCAACTCATGTGGAGCAGGCTTTCCTGTTGCATCTGTATATTCCTTTTAGGGGAAATACTGTTGAGATGGTCGTATTTACTAGGGGCTACAAGATTTTTAATGGTTGTATTACGTTTGAACACCATTCTGAGTTTTTTTTCTTACCTGCTAATTTTTGCATGAATTTTTTTTGCACAAGTAATAATCGTCCAGTGTGTTAACATAATCTTTTTTTTTATTTCAGTGGCAGCTGTATTGTATGTGGTCACAAATATTGGTAATGACTCTGTATTATCATTATCATGATATTCAATTTTCCAGTGCTTTTGGGTATATTAAATTCTCCCGGATCATTTGTGTTACTTCATCTCGAGTGGATCGGAGATGTCTATAATCATAATGTTTTTGTACAAACTGTGAAGTAAGATTTTGAAATTCCTCATTAAGTTCCTGTGGTCTGCTACAATTTATTTTAATCCTCATGTATTGACTCTTAGGTATATTTCTAATCTATTTGGGATGGTGTGCGCTTCTTGCATGAAGGAATCCATTCTGGTCCACCTGTTTCCGATGATTTTAGTCTGAAGATGACCTTCCTCATCCTGAAAGATATTTAAATCGAGGAATGTGATGTTATCTCTACTTACTTCATGTGTGAAGCTAAGGTGCAAGTTATTGGAGTTGGCATGTGCTATAAATCTTATCAAATCTTCCTCATTCCCATGCCACACCAACAGAATATCATCAATAAATCGTTTATAAAAAATTTTTATTTTGGAAAGGATTGTTGTCCCAAACACTGCTTTCCCACCATCCCATAGTGAGGATCACATGTGATGGAGCCAGATTCATGTCCATCGCTGTTCCTGTGAGTTGCAGATAAGTGTTTATCACATAGAAAATAATTGTGGGTTAACATGAAACTGATGCAGTCTAAAATAAAACTTTGTTGGTTATGATTCGTTTCATTAAACAGCCTTAGAAACTATTGGACCGCACCTATACCTTTTTGGTGAGAAATATTGGTATGTATAGATGTTACATTCTAACTTACCAAGATGCAGTCTTCAGTCCAATTAATTTCTGGAATGAGTTGTAACAAATGTGTGGTATCTTTGAGGTACGAGTCTAGGAGTATCACCATATGTCGCAGATAGTGATCCACATATGCTGATAAATTACTTGTGGCAAACTCCCCTTTTTACCTGAGTTTTCCACAAGCTCATGGAGGAGCCTGCTTGCCAGCCTCCTGCCCACAGACTATGGGCCCTGCAGGGAAACCTGTAAAAGACTACCGAACTTGACCGACTGCTAGCACTGATTTCCCTGGAACTGTTTTGGGCATGGGGCCATGCTTGCGGTCGGTCAAAACTATGACTTCCAGGAAATCCCTGACACCCTGAACCGATCTGGTTGATTTTTGGATATGTTGTTCACCCAGATCGGGGCTATCACGAGATGTGACTTTGATGGGGGTTAGTGTGTTTTTAAGGTACTTTTGGGGGTTTCATAAAATTGTATGTTTTTAAAAAGGCCAGTGTGCCTCCATTAAAAGCTATTCCAGCTTACACTCCAAAACTGTGTCGTCCTGTTATTGGAGGGAAAGAAGATTTACTCCTGTGTCTGCTGTTCCAGCTTGCAGGGGATTCAACGGGAAAGTCCTTGTAAGGACTAGAGCTAATTCCCCATTTGGCTCCAGGAGGGAGCAGTTCCAGGATCCCAGTCAACCCACGGCGACTGAGGGCAAGAGTGCTGAGGTTTGTCCCCTGTTCCAGCTAGGAAGCAGTCCTTGGCGGAGGTACCCAACCAGGGGTATAGGGAGCTCCGTTACATTACTAGTAAGAGATTCAATTCCAGATATAATGGGTCATCCAGGCGGATTTTGTATATCCTTATGGATTTTCAGAAGATGGTAGAAGATTGCCGTAATTGGTCTTTCCTGATAGAGGAAATTAAATTCGTCCTGATTTAGGATTCCTTTCGCCCTTGCTTCCATCAGAAGTTGGCGGAGTTCCAATTGATACTCATGTGTAGAATCAGTGGTTAGCTTCATATATACATTGGTATCTCCAACCACTCATTGCTTCTTGAATATATTGATCTTTATCTTGTATCACTATCGCACCACCCTTATCTGCCTCTCTATTTTGTAGAGTTTTTAGAGCAGTTTTTTCTCTTAATGTCAAGTTTGACTTGTATTTCTTTTGTTTCTCACACATGTCTTTTATATCTTTTAAAACCAGATAGACCACTATATACCCACATTGTTCATGACTGGAATAGAAGGAAGATACTGGTTTAAAGTTGGAATGAATAATTTAATTCGATAGACTATCTTCCTTTCTTTCATATTGCAGAGATTCCAAAGTCCGTATTCCCTCCAAATCTCTAGTTGATTGTCATAATTATGCCATATATTCATCTCAGTCGGGCTCCATTTATTTCCTTGATTCTTAAAATAACAAAAAAGGATAAGCTTGCAGATAAATTTGTGTAAATCCACAAACAGTATGAAATAGGTGGATGTGTGAGGCAAATTTCAATCAATATCCAAGAATATTTTTCTTCCTTTT